ATGCTTAGAAATAAGTTTAACTGAGGCAGCACAAGACTTTTACATTGAAAATTACAAAACATTGCTGAAATAAATTAAAGATAATCTAAATAAGTGGAAAGACATAATATATTCCTAGATTTGAAGACATAAGAGTGTTAAGATAATTTTTGCATATTCAATGCAATTCCTTTTATTTTTGACTTTATTTTTTTAGAGACAAGGTCTCACTCTGTCACCAAGGCTGGAGTACAGTGGCACAGTCATAGCTCACTATAACCTGAGATTCTTGGGCTCAAGTGATCCTCTTGCCTCAGGCTCTTGAATAGCTAGGATCATAGTACACATCACCATGCACAGCTAATTTTTGTATTTTATAAAAAGACAGGGTCTCACTATGTTGCCCAGGTGGGTCTCAAACTCCTGGCCTCAAGCAATCCCTCCCACCTTGGCCTCCCAAAGCGCTGGGGTTACAAGTGTGAGCCATCATGCCTGGCCACAATTGTTTTAAAATCCTAACTGCCTTCTTATCAGAAATGGAAAAGCAGATCCTAAAATTCACAAAAAATTGCAAGAGATCAAGAATAGCTAAAATAATCTTAAAGACTAACAAAGCTGGAGGATGCATACTTCCCAATTCCAAAACTTAGTACAATGTTACAGTAATCAAAATAGTGTTATACCTGCATAAGAATAGACATATAGACCAACTGAACAGAACTGATAATCCAGAAATAAACCCATATATCTGTGGTCAACTGATTTTTTTTTTACAAGGGTACCAGGATTGTTCAATGGGGAAAGAAGAGTCTTTTCAACAACTGGACATCCACATACAAAATGATAAAGTTAGACTTTACCTCACGCCATATACAAAAATTAGCTTAAAACAGACCAAAGACCTAAATATAACAGCTAAACCTATAACACACTTAGAAGAAAACATACTGGAAAATCTTCATGACCATGATTTTGGCACTGGTTTCTGAGATATGGCACTCAAATCACAAGCAACAACAACAAATGGATATACTGGATATCATCAAAATTAAAAACTTTTGTGCATCAAAGGTCACTATCCAGACAACCAAAGAGTGGACAAAAATAGTTGTAAATCATGTATCTGATGAGGGCCTAGAATCTATAATATATTTTATAAAGGCTCACAACTCAACAACAAAGACAAATAACCCATTAAAAAATGGGCAATGGACTTAAAATGACATTTTTCCAAAGAGTATATACCAATGGCCAAGAAGTACACACAAAAAATGCTCAATGTCATTAGTCATTAGGGAAATGCAAATCAAAACACAATGAGATACCACTTCGCATACACTGCAATGGCAATAGGAAGGGAGGGAGGGAGGAAGCAGGGGTGGGGAAGGGAGTGGAGAGGGGAGGGAGGAAGGGAGGGCAGGTTGACGACTTTGTGGCAAAATTAGAACTCTTATTCATTGCTGACGGGAATGTAAAATGGTACAGCTGTTGTGGAAAACAGTTTGGCTGTTCCTCAAAAAGCTAAACATAGAATTACGGTATGAATTAGCAATTTCATATCTAGGTAGACACCCAAAAGAACTGAAAACAGATGTTCAAACAAACTTGTATATAAATGTTCATAGCAGCACTATCCACAATAGTCAAAATGCAGAAACAACCCATATGTCTATCAACAGATGATGAGATGAACAAATGTATCCATATGTCTAAACACAATCCAGCCAGAAAAATAAAATACTGATATATGTTACACAATGGATGAACCTTGAAAAAATTGTACTAAATAAAATAAGCCAAGAACAAAAAGTCACATATTGTATGACTCCATTTATGAATATCTAGGCAGGTGTTGTGGCTCAAGCCTGTAATCCCAGCACTTTGGGAGGCTGAGGTGAGAGGATTGCCTGAGTCCAAGGGTTCAAGACCAATCTGAGCAAACCTGGTGAGATCTTGTCTCTACAATAAAGCAAAAAATTAGCTGGGCGTGGTGGTACACATCTGGTTCCAGCTACTTGGAAGGCTGAGGCAGAAGGATCACCTGAGCCCAGAAGGTCAAAGCTCCAGTAGCCGTGAGCATGCTACTGCACTCCAGCCTGGGCAAACAGTGAGACTCCTACACACACAAAAAGAAATATCCAGAATAGGTAAATTCATAGACACAGAGACAGGAAGCAGATTAGTGGTTTCCAGGTACTGTAAGTAGGAGAGAACAGGGAGTATCTGTTTAATGGGTACAGGGTTTTCTTTTGGGGTGATGAATATATTCTGGAACTAAAAAGTGGTAATGGTTTACACAACATTGTGAATGCACTAAATTCCACTGAATTGTATACCTTGGTGAATTTTATATGTATTTTACCACAGGAACTGTTTTTTTTTTGAGTCAGTCTCACTCTTTCACCCAGACTAGAGTGCAGCAGCACGCTCATAGCCACTGCAGTCTTGACCTGCTGGGCTCAGGGGATTCTTCTGCCTCAGCCTCCCAAGTAGCTGGAAATACAGGTGTATGCCACCATGCCCGGATAATTTTTTGATTTATTGTAGAGATGAGGTCTTGTCAAGTTGTACCAGCTGGTCTCGAACCCCTGGACTCAAGCAATCCTCTTGCCTCAGTCTCCCAACATGCTGGGAGTATAGGCGTGAATCACCATGCCTGGCCAAAAA